TCAAGGAGAAATACTAGAAACTTACGATTACAGCTTTTGGTGTAAAAAAAAATAGCATTTTTTAGGAGGTTAAAAAATTGAGAAACATCCAGTATATTTTATGTGCCAGTGCCCTTTAAAGGGTTAAGATGATTTTTATGAAAATTATAAGTTTTATTAAATGTAGAGATTTAATTTGGAGATTATTTATTTATCCAATGAATAATCTAACAGCCATAAAACATTACTTTTATATTCAGAAATGTGAAGGTTATCTGCAGGAATTTTTTTTAAATTTATTTATTTTATTATTATTATTTCTAGTATGTTAAAAAATAAAGCTAAAATTTCTTTAACCAGGGGTAAATATGATTATAGGTAAGGTTATATAATTAAAGGGTAAGTTTGTGAACTTGTAGCACACATCTTGCCATTTTAAGTGAGTTTAGTTATATTGTAGTTAAGATTCATATTAATAAAATTAATGCAGTGTTTAGTTGGTCATCATACGTGAAAAAAAAAAAAGAATACTGTGCAATGTTCCAAAAAAGTGAAAAGTTTCTTATTGGATAATGAATTAAATTCGGCTGCATCTGTTAAAAAGTGCAAATCAGAACTCATTTCTCAGTTGCCCTGCCTAAAAGGGAATTAGACGTGTGTCTGGATTTAAAATCCATTTCAAAAGTGTAATAAATCAGATCACTTGCCAGGAGGAAAAGAGAGCGATTAATTGGTACTCCACATGTTTGACACTGAATATTAAATACCAAAAGAAGAATTTTGATTTTGAATTCAGTAGTATTCTGAAATATAATATATTGTACTAGAAAAAGTTGGTACATATGCATTATCTTTTTTTATTTTATTTACCGAACCACCATTGTCAGCTGTATGTGCAGCTGACGATGGTGGCTGACTGTGTGCAGCTGATGATGGTAGTTCATTAAAACCATCAAAACTAGTCCTGTGAAAGTTTGAAAATATAACACTGATTTTTGTTGTTTGACTTCTGAATTGGTATTTGTTCAGCGTGTTACTGTGTTACCCTTGTTGCAAGAGACAACTGACATTATTAATGAAGGAAGAAATCCTGAAATTAAGCACAGATCATGTCATTCCAGGAAGCCTGACTTAACTGCAGGTGTTAGGTGTGATGATGAGTAATCCATTTAAAAACCACCTAAAGAAGCTGTGCAGTGATTAATTGCTTCAAAGTGGTCAGCCTTAACCCCCTCAGTGTCTGTAACTGCGGAATAGATCCAGACTGCTTAGACACACATATTCAGTGCGTCAATTATGGAAGGGTTAGTTTAATGAATTTCAGGTCCCCCACATGTCTGGAGAAAGGGCCCCACTAACAGAGCTTCTTTTAAAATTAATCTTTCTGTGACATATTATTAGAAAGATTATTGCATAATTTATCATTATTAAACAATAGTATTTAAGCAAAAAAATATAAGTATGTATATTTCAGAGTATAAGCTGAGAATTTTTTTAATTTTTAAAGCTAAATTATAGGAATTAGCTTATGTACAGATTCACTAGTCTCATAAAATGTAGGTAATTTCCCATTAGCTGGATGCAAGAAATAAATAATTAAATATTGCACTTTTTTATTTCTTTATTATACATTTATAAGGTATTTCTCCTTTCCTAGCGTGCCTTCATGGTGTAGTGGTTCTGCACGCTGAGCCGGTATTCAAGAGTTCCATGGTTCGATTCCTGGAGAAGACGATTGCTAATTTTCATCTCTCCGGATTTCCCAATTAACCTAATGTCTCTACACATTTCATAAGTTTATGAAAAAAATAATTTTAAATGAAATAATTATTCATTTTATGAAAATGAGTTGTTTAATCTTCAAAATTATTAATGTTGCTGGTTTGTTGCTTCATCGCTAAAATGAAAAATCTGATGTTGGTGAAATTTGCACCCAGGTGATAGAAAAGAGCCACATTTTGTATATTTTTATTTTGGCATCTCTGCCAATTCAAGTCTTTTTTTCCTCTGTAAATGAACTTGTTTTTCATGTACGGAGAAATGCCGAGCAGCTGCATTGTTACTAGAATTTTCAGCAAATGAAATCACTTGAAGTTTGGAATTTGCTGCAAAGAATTTCTCTTCCCACGCATCTTGAAGATATATTGAACTCATGGATAGCTTGTTCGAATTTTTTATTCTGACACTGAAGTTACAGCAACCATTGGGTTTTCAGAAATCTTCCATTTGGATAGCAGCAATGAAAGTCATTTGGAAAGATGTCATTGTCAGATCATTGCATCTAAAGCAAAGAACTTGGGCTGACTTCCAGATCCCTCGGTCTAAAGGTAATGGCACAGCATACAGGTGGTGGTGAATTCTAAACAGTTTGACAAAAGAAAAACAGCTGTGTAATGTCTTTGTGTTGCTACTATACCAAAGAGATATCTCGCTAGAAATGTAAACATCCTTGCGCTTGAAACATCCTCGCTTGAAAATGCATTAAAGATCCTCATGCTGGAATTGTCTTAGGTTTTGTAAGTTTAAAAAATGAAAAAAATTGATGTTTGATCAAAATGGTGAAATTTTTTAAAACACTTCACAATAGCTGTGATTTTTGTGGTGTTATTTTTAAATTGTTGAAATAGAATTTCAGTCCATGCAAATTCAAAAATTTTAAATACAAAAGTATTGTTTCAGTGAGAAGTTCAGCTTATTTTTATTTATATTTACACATGACAAAGATTATGGATGTTACGGGACCCCTAAACCGAGCGTGATTGTAAATGCTTTTAAGAAGTGTTGCATAATGATTGAATTAAATGGAAGTGAAGATAATCTATTGTGGGAAGAAAAGCAATATCATAGTGGCAGTGTTACTGCAAATTGTGGACCATTCTAGGAGGACCAGTAATTTCTAAAACTGAGAGTAGTAATAGAAAGAAAGGGAAAATCAAAAGAGCATTATCAAAATCATTCCAAAAAATTTAAATCTGTTCCTCATTTATTACATCAAAACTAACTAAAGCTTCAGTTGTAAATGGGGAATTAAATGATGAGAAAAATCGGAGTAGCCAAAACCATAGAAATAAAAATGCAAAAGAAAGAACATTTCTCAAAGAATTCTTTCTTTTAAATAAAAGGGACATTTTTGAGCTGCCTGCAGTAGGCAAAAGATTTGTTTTATCTGATGAAAGGTTGGCTGCATGTGGTATTAATCCATACAATAATTCCCAAAATATATTGCCCAAATAATATATTTTCCAAGAAAGAATTCATTAATAAATTCATATATTCTATGAGAAATAAGCAACTTTTCTTTGAAAAGTTCCCTGTGAGGAGGGAGTTTAAGACTACAATGTCTTTGCATTGCTATGTGCTACCAAATAAATATCCAGTGATAAATGTAAAAGTCCATGTGCTTGAAAGATCCTCATTTGAAGATCCTTGTGCTGGAAATCTCCTTTTTTTTTTTTTTAAGCTTGAAAATAAAAGTTTGATGTTTGGCCAAAATGGTGAAATTCTTTTAAAACACTTCAGAACAGCTGCAATTTTTGTGATGTTATTTTTAAATAGTTGAAATGGAATTTCAGTCCATGCAAGATTTTAAAAAATTTAAAATACAAAAGTATTCAGCCTATTTTTATTATTATTTACTCATGAAGGAGACAATGCGTGTTGCAAGACCCCTAAACTGGCCCTGATTATGAATGGCCTTAAGAAGTGTAGTATAAGAAATGGGAAGAAGATCAAAATCACAATACTAGTGGTAGTATCATCTCGAATGATGGACCACTCTAGTAAAGAGGACATGGTGGGATCTATCTAACAAAAGGAGATCTGAATTTTTAAGTTTAGAAAAAGTTTTTAGTTTAGTTTTTTACTTATTATGTGCCATACATTGTTTTTCTGTAATCAATTTCGAAAAATGGAGAGGGAGTCATCTTGGATTTGGAGATCTATCATAATTTATATGTATTTTCAAATGTCTTTATTTATTAGATTATTCAATAATGATATGGATTAGGATGAATAGAGTGATAGAATATACTTTAATTGTTGAAATATAAACTTGAATATTACAGGTGTTTCCCACCCTGCTCATTGATGCAGCAATCATTTCTCAGGAAAATTTCAGATGGCTGCAGCAAACCATTCTTTAAGAATGCTGCAGATCTATTGATGGACAGCTTCTTGCGATTTCTCACTGATGGCAAATTATGTACAATGCAGATTCTTCATCTTATGAAAAAAATGCCTAGTACTATGCAATGATTCTTATCACATTTTTATTCATTATCCATGTGTTTGCTTCTGCAAGGCAATGAATTTGTTTGTAGGGCACCAAATGAATACAAATTTTATGCATTTTCAATCTTTATTCACTGTCATTTCTAAAGATCCTGTGGTAATATCTGTTTTACATTGTACCTCATCAAAGGTTAGGTTTCAATTTGTCACATATTGTATTGCAGTTGGTATACACCTCACTGATCTACCACTGCTGATTCTTTTCATTACATTTTCATTTCCTATACAAGTTCCTAATCTATTTAAATACAGAGCTTTATGTATGTCCTTGCTCATCATATATAGCCACCAGTCACATGTAAATTGATGCTGCTGATTACCCCTCTTTCCTAAGAAACATTACAGTTCATTTTTATGTATGTGCAACACTCTCCATTTCACTATGCATACACTTATTCTCAGTCTTCTGCACCATGCTTCATTACTTCTGTTGTGCTGAAACTAATCAAGCCAACTTATAACAGAATTTTACTCATACCACCATCTGAAACAAACATCACCACAAGGTTCAGCTGTTTATTTACATTGGAACAGCAGCACAAGTACAAATCATTGCTGAACTTACTAATATAAAAATTTTAAAATGTTTTATTAATTACTCCCAACTAATATCATGATGATAAAAGTATTCATATTTTTCTTTCATTTCTACCATTATTATTATTTTTTTACATATATATTATTTCAAAATATGTTTTTGTAACTAAGCTAAACTTTTTATTATGTTTTAGATTTAAATGAGAAGACAATGGATGCTTGTATATGGCTTTTCTTGGGTTGGGCTTTGCATTACCTCCCATTTTTTGCAATGAGCAGGGTTTTATATTTCCATCATTATTTTCCAGCTCTAATTTTTAATTCTATGCTATCAGGTATGTAAAAATGTTTCAAAATTTATGTATTTAATTGAAAAGTGTTATACTTTGGAATGGCAATGACATTAATTTAGAAAGAATGTACCTTCTATTATTATTATTATTATTATCTGTATTATACATGCAGAAATGGAAATATTGGTTTTCTGCAAGCAGGCCTACGTTTTGCAATGCTGCTATTGTGTATGCCGGATTTGTCATGGAAAATAGTTTCATTTATTAGTTTGTATGTCAAAAAATGTCCATTTCCAAATTAAGGTAGAATTCAGTGAAGAATTGTAATATCCAGTTTTCCATAAAGTCCTGCATATGTCAAAAAAGTAGTTTAGAAGTATAAGCATTCATAAGTATCTCTCCTTTGGCTAGAACCCTTACAATCCTATTCCTGTTTTCACATCTTTTTTTGTCATATGACCTATTGCTATGATAGTGCTGACATTTTGGTAAGGTTTTGCATCTTGTGTAATTATTATGGGGGCATAAAATATTAATTATTAGATGTAAATTTGTGACTGATTTTGTCATGTATAATTATTATAATTTGTTTAAAAATATTAATAAATAAATTTCCAAAGAAAAAATTAAGTATCGTCTTTGCTCATTATAGCAAATATTGCATTGCAATAACTGGTGCAAAAATTCCACAACTGATGAAAATACGAGGGCCATCCAGGAAGTAGATTACGTTTCCGTCTGTGTCCGCTAGGGGCGGGGCTAGCGCGGCCATCTTGGGGTCAGAGCGTTGCGCAGCTCAGTCTGCATCTAGCCGTGCTAGTGAGAGGTTCGTGCTGTGCTCCGTTCAGATACTGTGACGGTTTGAAATGTCTGCGTTAACTGAAAATCCCGCGAGGTGCGCTCAGTAATAAGGTTTCTGACTGCAAAAAACTGTAAACCGATAGAAATCTATCGGCAGCTTCGTGAAGTGTATGGGGACAACATTATCACTGAAGGTGGAGTGCGTCAGTGGGTCATAAGATTTCAAAATGGCCGAACCAATGTTCACGACGAAGATCGAAGTGGGAGACCCAGCATAGTGACCGCCGAACTTCTCGAAAAAGTCGATGCTAAAGTCCGTGAAAATCGAAATTTTACAATAACGGAACTTTCTTTGAGTTTTCCACAAATTTCGCGAAGTTTGTTGCACGAAATCATCAGCGAAAAGCTTGGTTACCACAAGTTTTGTGCAAGATGGATTCCAAAAATCTTGACAGAGGACCACAAAAATCAACGAATGGCTGCAGCGTTGAACTTTTTGGACGCTTACCATAAGGATGGTGACTCTTTACTCGATCGCATTGTTACTGGTGACGAAACATGGGTGAAACATGTGAACTGTGAAACGAAATTGCAATCAATGCAGTGGGGGCACACAAGTTCTCCCCAAAAACCCAAGAAATGCATGCAAACAGTGTCGGCAAGGAAGATGATGGCGACTGTTTTTTTGGGACAGAAAAGGTGTAATTTTGGTGGACTTCCTGGAAAGAGGCACTACAATAAAACTCTCAAAGGTATTGCCAAACTCTCCAAAAACTCAGAAGAGCAATTCAAAACAAGCGCAGAGGAATGTTTGAGCTCTAAGATCTTGTTGATTCACGACAACGCCCGGCCCCACACGGCAAATGTCACTCGTAAAAGTTCTTGAATCTTTTAAGTGGGAGTTGTTTCCTCATCTGCCATACAGTCCCCGACCTGGCACTGAGCGACTTCCACCTATTCCCAGCAATGAAGAAGTGGCTGGCTATGCAGCGTTTTGATGACGACGCACAGCTGCAAAGAAGAGGTAACGAAGTGGTTGAAGGCGCAGGCGGCCGAATTTTTCGACGAAGGAATTTCCAAGCTCGTACATCGCTACGATAAATGCCTTAATTTGTATGGTGACTATGTAGAAAAGTAGTATTTGAGTGTGGCTTTCATCTGTATATAATAAAATTTGTTTCCTATACTTTGTTTATTTTTTTTATTCCAAAACGTAATCTACTTTCTGGATAGCCCTCGTATATAATAGCCACTTTTGTTATAGCAATCCATGCTGTAATATGCTTACAAAATTAATTGTCCATCTAATTAAACCTTCCTGTCTTCTATGAAAAAAATTTCTGCTTAATGACTTCGGTGTAATTGAATTTTTATGTTAATAAAGCATCAGACATTAAACAAAAAGAAATACTAAATTCAAAAGAAAATTAACTAAAAAAGATGCAAAACTTTATAAAAATTCTTTACAGAGGCTAGTCTCAAATTCGTTCTTTTTTTTTTTTTTTTTTTTTTTTTTTTGCCCACTTACAGTGTTAACAATAATAATCACACCACTTATTATATTCTTTAGTACAGTTCTGACTGCAGTTACTTGGCTCTAACAACTTTTTTAATTACAAGAAAGAGAAATAAAATATTAGAATATTAAAATTTAGGACAGTTTTATTTCTTTAAAAAAGTAAGGAAAGATGAATTTTGGATATAAATTCATATTTGTTCTTTTAACTGTGCTTATATCTATTTCTTCTATTCCATCTCATAATTTATTTCAAGATCTGTTTTAAAATAATGAATTGGTTTCTGTGGACCCAAAGTAGTCAAAGTGACATTTAGATGGCTCTTAATATTTTGAGGGAGTTTTATTGATGCCGAGAATGACACCAAGAAGCAGTGTTTCCTCAATGGCTGTCTCCCAAAACAATAAAAAATGTATGTTACAAAAATAACAAAAGTCCCTAGCTTTTCTTAGATATGTCCTATCATCACCATTGAGTGAGTGTGGCACATATAATTCAGGCAGCCCTATGATGAATTTTCCTTATGCTCCTGATCCTGGTACCCAGGATGATACACAAACTCCACAAAGTAGGAATAAAAAATTTCAGCTTTAATCTGGTTCCACATCCCTCAGTGGTGTTGATGTGGGTGCCAGTTTCGTGATCTTTACACATCCGGGAATGATTCACTGACAAATGCTTGAAACTCTGATTATCGAAGCAATCATAGGCTTCCCAACAGTAGTCAGAGATAAGGTTCCAGGCACTATTTTCCAAGAAATCACCTCTAACAATGTCTTTTTTGTGCAATTTGCCACAGCCTGTCACCTCCCAACAAATAATGTGAGAACTTCCTCTTCCTGTATCAATACAACCAAGTACCCCCTTTCTACCTCTATTATATATCTCTACCACCATTCTACACCTATTATATTACCGTTTACTAAACTTGCTCTTATCTAATCAATCTTTACATCCAACCAGATGCATATATTTCATAGAAACTGGGTATTGATATCAAAAACTAATTAAACTTCATTCACACACCAATCAATTATAGCTTTCTTCCCTTTAAATTATGAGGTAAACAAGTACTTATCTCACCAGACATACTTCTTTGTGGAAATGGCAGTACAATAATCGGTTAAGAACAAGCCACAGCCAGCTAATGGAAACCAACTCTAAATTAATGGTAATTGAAATTCAAATAACTCAAAATCTGGGATACATGTACTTAGTATCATGTATGCTTCAACCACTAAACTAAGATAGATGATTCTATGAAATGGATTAGTAACATAAGAAAAAATGGCATCATAACATTGAGGAAACAGAGCTGATACAGGGTTACTGAAAGATCAGTACCAGCACGGATGTTTAACATCAATCCAAGGGGCACCCTTTCGTACACTAGAAGCAAAAGTTCTACTCTAATTTTCCTAATACTAGAGAAGCTGAATTTGCTGGATTTCTATCTTCATATTCTTTTTAACTTTAAAGGTACAAAAAAAGTTATTCATAACCCCAAAACGTAAAAAATTTGGAGATAACGAAAATGAGATGGTCACTTGTAGTTGCTTCTTTGTGCCCTTTAGTACACTGGTTTTCAAAAATTAAGGAAAGATTTTTTAAAAAAAAGCGATAATTTGTTCAAAAATAAGCCAGTCCACATAAAATTTGAATATATTGTCAAATAAGAATTGCTGAGTAAAACTACAGTATGCAAATTATTGACACTGCAATCAAAATACGTCATCTGCAAGGAGCATAAAATTGCATGTTTCAGAGCAAGCCAGCAAATTTCGCTGTGATCCTGAGATAAGAAATCTGGGATAGCCAATTTGTAACAATGACCTCCAAGCATCATTTGACCAAATAACTGCGATGGAGAGCTATTCGGGAATTAGAGGCAAGGCAAGGTCAGACAGAAGTGGCCAGATGGTTAAATGTGAGTCCTTCTGTCGTTCATAGACTTTGGCAACTATTTATATCTACAGATTCGGCATCCAGGAGGTTCAGCCAAGGACAGCCAACCACTACAACGAGCACTGATGACCGATATTTGTTGTTATGCACACGAAGAAATAGAACCTCAAATCACTCAACTCAGGTCCTCCCTTGCTGCAGCCACTGGAAAGTTGGTGTCAATGTCAACCATGTGTAGAAGGCTCAACAAAGGAGATCTGTACACGAGGCAACCAGCCATTTGCATGCCGCTCATGTCATATCATAGCTTCATGTATAGAAGGAAATGTTTGAGGTAGGCACATCAACATGTCCACTGGACAGTTGATCATTGGAGGCTGTTCCCTGTAGGGATGAGTCCAAGTTAAGCCTCTAAATCAATAGTATGTGTTTTTTTGATTTGGAGAGAACCTAGAACCCGTTATCATACATCGAACATCTATAAAAGAGATGCATATGAAAGAGGCAGTGTCTGTGTTTAGGGTGGTATCTCTTGGCGAAGACGCACAGACCTCCATGTCTTTCCACATGGAACCATGAATGCTCAGGCCTGTAGATGACATCTTTAATGCTTATGTATGCCCTTATGCTGGGGCAGTAGGTGATAATTTTCTGCTATAGGATGACAACACTAGACTGTACAGGGCTCTCATTGCAGATGATTATCTTCAGCAGCAAACAATTCAGCACATGGAGTGGCCAGCTTGATCACTGGGGAACCTGAATCCTATTGAGCACATTTGAGATGCTTTAGGACGATGTAAAGCTGCTCTCAATCCTCCTCTTCAGACCCTTGTCATGCTTGTAACTGCTTTGCAAGAACAATGGCTCTCACTTGCTACCAAACTGATAGACTACATAATTGACAGCATCACACATCACTGTATGTGTTGTATTGCTTCTAGGGAAGATCATACTCCATATTGAAGGTAGTTTTCCTGTATCAAACTTACAAATCTGATTTGTTCGTTTTATACATATGCTAATTTCCGTAACACCTTAATTGTCTGATAAGTTCTTTTCATGTTATTTTATACCTTGCTATGGGCTGTGCTGTATACTATGGATCAGTAAAGTTCTACATGTAACTTTCTGAGTAATCACCATATTTGTTATTTTTCCTAAATTAATGATAACCAGTGTACATTCTATTTCAAAAGTTTTTTTATATACATGTAATTTTTTGTCAAATGATGAATACATGTAAGTTTAACTGTTTCATGAGCTGAGGAATCTTGTGCTTTTGAGGGTAACAGCATTACTTTTCTGGCATGGTGATTATAATGCATTTCTAATGCCCATCCTGATTACAGCAAATGAGGTGATGGAAATTAATAAACATTCAATTACTTTGTAAAAAATCTTAAATCAATTTTATGCATTTCTGTATCATTAAGGTCTTATTAAGATGGATAATGCAAAAATATTACTGAATTTTTAAATTCCTATTGCATACTATGTTCTTTATTACAGAACCATGTATTTTTCTTAAATGCCACATTTTTCTCCCATTTTATAACTGCTATATTATAGTGCAACACATGTTTTTATTTAGTAAGCACCTGTGTGTAACTCAACAGATCAAGTTGGTTTGCATTTTAGTAGTTTTATTTATAGTCTCATATGAATGGCATTGTTTTCTAGAATTTTAGGTAATTTTTCTCTGTAACATATGAAACCTGCTCTTGTTAAAAAAATTTCTTCATGATGGAAGCATTTTGCAAGTTAGTTAGTCGCCATTCTTTTCAAATAAATGCTTCCCAGTGAAGGTATCGCGTGTATAATTTCACATTACAACACTAGGACGTTAATTGAAAAATAGGTAGGCATCAGCATATGGACAGTAGAACTTGTTTATGTTTTTCTCTGTTTAAAGAGTTGCATTTAAATATATCAAAATGAAATTCTTAAGTAACTGTAGTTGCACATCAGACATGAATAAATAGAAAATTCATAAATATTAGTATTGATATAGTAAAAACTTTAGAAACTGAAACATGAATTTTGAATTTTTAAATAATGTCTTTTAATATGTTTTTTATTTTTCAGCTGTCATAGTGGATTATATATTGAAGGTAATTTTTTATGCTGTGCCAGAAGTCGTAGCAAATACATTTTACCATATTGCTTTTGGGACAATATTTTCAGTCTTAGTTTATAGGTAAGCTAAATCATAAGTGCTTTTTTTTTTTTAATTTGTTTTCCTTCCTTTTTTTTTTTCAGGGGGGGATGCTTACATGTACTACAGTTATATCTTAAAGATAAAAACAAATTATTGTATTAAATATGAGTTTATTCTTTTTTATCATCATAAATTTGCATAAGAAAAGACCTTAGAACAAGGTGTCCGATCCACAGCCTAGAGCAAGTGTCAATACGGCCCAAGAAGTGAGTGCAAAACACAAAAGAAATACCAAAGCCTCATCCAGGGGATACATGTTACTGTGGGATCAGGGTTCGAGTGTGGCCTTCAACATGGAGGGATGGGCTATTTGACACTCAATTAGAGGAAATAAAATGCATTTTGAGTGGAGTGACTGTTCCAAATTTCCTTTCGACTTTAAAGACTTTTTATGTGCAAACTGATTATCTTCATTTTGATGTATTGTTTGTGTCTGTATGTATCGCCAAGGTGAGGATTTCAAGATTGTTTCAAGTGATTGTCACCTTAAAGCTACAATGGATACCAGTGATGCTATATTTTCAAGTGCTTTAAGGTGTACTTAAAGTGGTGTGGCGTTCTCAAATCTTATTTCAAGCTATGGGCGGAATTATTACCTACATTTTGTTACATTGTTTGTACAACTATGATATGTTAAGTGAATATATAGGTGAAAAATCAGTTTGGTGTTTCAATGCTGTGTTCATATGGATGCCATAACCACTATGGCATAATGTAATTTTATCTGTTGAAATTTTATAAATCATACCTACTCAGAGACAAATATGCCTCACTGCACAATCATGCATTATTCATTACATCATATTTGGCAGCACGTACATTTGTGAACAATAATTTTCAAGAGTGAAGCCCAGTAAAAGTAATGTTAGAACCCAATATTGGGTAAAAACATTAACAACTTTCTGCGAATTACAATTACTTCAATCAAACCAGACCCGATGCATTAGTTTCTCGAATTCAAGGTCGAATATGACATTAATTTTATGATTTCTTATCATTTTTTTAATTATAAATAAAATTTATAATGAAATGTTACACATAAAATATCAAATATAATGTCAAAATAATTTGTACTTTTCCATTATGCACCTGCCATGCATTTTGGTGCGTTTTTAACTGTAAATAATTTCCAATTATAAGAATAGCTTGTAGATACACACACACATGGAACAATAACTCAGATAACACTTTTATTTTGGTGTTGAAATCTTTTCGTCTTCTCATTCACAGGCATCAAAAGCATGGCAGATACTTGGAAAAGCACCAAATAATTCTGTGTTGCTGTCCGCATATTGAAAAAATCATAAATTAATAAAGTTTAAACTACTTAGATGTTTTAATATTTTAACTTATATAAACCTTCAGACAATAATAATTTTTACAGTATTCTTAATTATCCAGTCAAATGCATTGAAACTGAAACTATCACATTCTAATATCTCACCTTCTTCTGTGTGGGCTAGAAAAGCTAAAAGGTTGGATATCTCTGCTTTAGGAGATCATTTTAAATATTTAAGGTTCCTAAATATACGTAAATGCAGTTCATATAGTAACATTAAAAAATGAAAGAAAATCTATAACACTTGAAAAATGATTTGTAGATAACTTTCAGTTAATAAATATTTAAACCTTTTTATTAAATTTTAAAAAATAAATTATGGATCTTGCAAATATTTTTATGCTGTAATAGTGAATAATTTGTAATATTCATTTTTAGCTTTTTAATTTGTAATATTTATTTGTAGCTTTTATATACATGTATAGATTTTTAAGGCAGTTAATTAGATTGTAAAACATTTAAATTTTTGAAACTATCAATTTCATAAATGTAAAAATATAACTCAAATGTTATAATAATTTTACCTCTATTATTATTAAAAATAACATGATTTCACAAAATCAGCTGTATAAAAGAATAAATATATTGGCAAATATATTATGGGATATTAAAAATTTAAAAAGTCTAAAGTAAATTTTAGTTTACTTTTCTGTTTTTATTGAAATACTGCCATCAATCTTCATCAGCTATCACATGAAAATGATCAAATCTCAGTTTGTTTTCTTTATAATGAAACTGTATTTGTAAAATAAATTTACAGTAAGAGTTTCATATAAACTCATTATAAAATTATTTTATAATGTTTATTGACTATATGAAGCCATCATGTGGTGTTTAGAAACCTAAAATTAATTTGCTTTATTTCGAAGCTAATAGGCAAGGAAATCAAAATCGTAAAAACAACCTTGTATTTAGCGTAAGTATAATGAAACACTCAATCAGCTTACGCTAAATACAAGGTTGTTTTTACGATTTTGATTGTCACATTAGCGTGTTTCTCTTCTAATAAATTATGTAATCAAAAAACTATGTTTTCAATAGAAGATTTTTTATCTCTAGATTTATGAAGATATTGATTATGTTTGATATTGTTTACTTTTGGTTAAAAATCTATGAAAAAATAAAATTGATGGTGAATGTGTACTAATTTTTTATATAGCTCATACAAATAAGATTTTTTTTTTTTAATTTTTTTAAATCATATGCTGAGTTTAATTTTCTTCTATTTCTTGGTAATTTTTTTGTCTTCATTTCTAGCTTCGTTATATTCAGTCCTTTGGCATATGGATTGGACAACTCAACAACCGCAAATGTTACCACCAGCAAAATTAAATGGTTGGATTCTTGGGAATTTTAACTGTAAATTATATTAAATAAAATTTTTATATCAAATCTAACTATCCATGCATTTATGAATACTGTTTTACTGAATGGTTGATAATCCGTTATTACTTTCAACATAATAAATCTGATGAGTATCTACTAGATAAAATGTGCTGCAACTGGCATTTTATTTACTGAAATTTAAGTAATAAGTAGAGTAATACGGTTAAAAATTTTGCAGTTATAACAATTCCTCTAAATTTTTAAAATATGTATAATTATGCTACTGATTAAATAAAAGTGCAATGCATTCAAAAGTTTTATTTGTTGGGCAGTTTGAAGATTGAGCATCTGTTGAATCAATAGCTGGCAAAATTATTAGTTAAAAGAGCCACAGATCAACACTATAAAGAATACGATTTCTTTTGAGAGCCAAATTTCTCTTCAAAAACCATATTTTTAGAAGTGGGTTTAAACTAGTGACTAACATTAAAGAAAACCAGATCTCATAATAATCTTATTTATTGACAAAAAATATTTTTGCATTAAAATAAAAGTATGACAAATTACTTATGTCATGTGAGCAATGACATTGCTGGATAAGTCAGGTTTCTATTTTGTTATTTTTTATTTAAAGTAGCATTTGAGGTTCACATCAATAAGATTGTTTCTGAATTTACTTTTGATAAAGCTCATGCTTGAAAAAGATAATTCACATGAATAGGTAGAGCCAAAAAGGTTAAGATCAGTTAATGCTGTATTTTTAATTGACCATATGAGTTAAGAATACTAATCCAGTAGTTGAAAATTATAACATCTTTGTTCTCTCCAGGTATTCCAAAGCAAACAACCTTTGCTGTGAACTAAGATCATATATATATATGTGTGTGTGTGTGTGTGTGTTTCTGTATCATCATTAAAACATATAAATTTGCAGCTCCATCTTTTTTTTTTTTTTTTTTTTTTACTTGAGTAATTACACTTCAGATGGGCCAATATCAAAATTAAATTCTATTACATCAGCATTGAGAATTTTTTTTTTTTTTTTAACAAAAGCTAACTTCACTATGCTATTTTCGAATTTCTGAAATCTCTGTATAGAAAGGCTTCCCTCACATTTAAATTTGACTTGGAAAATTAATTAATTAATGTCTTTCTTTCAAAATCTTGAGCGAAAGGGGATAATTTGTTTCTGAATGAAATGATTTCAATCCAACATCAAAAAAATTATCTTTCCTTTCTGCTATAATTGACAGTTGAAATCATTTAAATGAGACATAACGTCTGCCCAGTGGCATAAATATGGGTATGCAAGGAATGCTGTTGCTTAGGGGGCCTTTGAATATCCTACTGAACTACGTTTCTATGTTTAAACTTAAAAGACAATGGATACATACAATAGAAGTCTTTTAAGTTCCCTTTTTTTCTTCAGGTTGAGTTTGTCACATATCAGGCATTTCTGCTTAGCTGCCTCATATAAACATATATGATGCGGATAGAGAGCTCCCAGAAGCAGGTAAAACAGCTGAATTCAGTGTTGCATATACCCAAACTGCAGTTGAATGCAAAACAAAGAAGCTGTATGTATTTTTTTTTTTTTTTTTTTTAATTACCTCCACATGAGAGTCTTTCGTTATAACTAATAACTAAAACCAGGCTGTTGCTCAGGTTTATTACGAGAACAAGTTCTGAATTTCCCGAGACAAGCACGTGACAAAAATATAGGTACAGGAAGTCAGGACCACTGAAGTTCACTAGAATTCCCAATTTTAGGAAACAATTTTATATTGCAGCCTACATGTCAGATTTTCTCGTAAATACTAAAAGAATGTGTTGGTTGAGGTAAAAATGACTTCTTCTGGGAATTGTAGACTTCATACCAGTTCTTGTTTTAAAATTTGCTTATACAATTTGTTGACATATATCTCATAATAGTGGTTCAATAAAAATAAAAATTAAAAAAGATTAAAATCTCTCTTCTCCCATTCTTTCTATTCATGTTTTCTACTTTCACAGTTTTGCAATTCAGATAATATAGTGATTAGGGAAGCTGACTGTCATAACAAAGGGTTTGGGTTCGAAACCCTGAGAAGGCAGAGTTGTTGCTGTCAGTCCCAGGAGGCAAAGGTGGCCCTTCTATTATGTGCCTCCATAATAAAGTAACCACCACTCCTGGCCTTAATAGTGGCCAAGCCAGAGTTCGCTGAGTGCCTTCCATTGGGGAAAAAAGGGGAAAAAAAAAAAAGGCTTTCACAGTTTTATACAATTTTTTTTTCAGTTGTCAGACTTGAATAGTTTATAACTGTTCTGACGCACTTAATTTCAATACTAGTTTTGTGTATATAATTTTAGGAAAAATATATATAAGCCTCTTTGCTTAATTATTTTTTTAACTGATAATAAAATCTTATTCAGTACAATTCATAAGGTATAGATGTAAATATATATGGTGTAAATGATTGATGATGTAAATATATTTAAACTTCTTGCATCACATAGAAGAAAAGATGTATTATAAGGAATGATAATTATTGCGAAAATTGACCTAATACAGACTATCGTGAACTGTAGGCGTTTCATACTGGTCATTGTAATAGAATGCCCATTATAACAAGCGTCAATTGTGCTAACATTTCTAGCATGTTTTGTTTAGAATCTTAACTATTTAGGTAGTCACTTCCCAAATCAGAAGGAGTGTAAAGGGGAAAGGCAACAATCATCTATTAACAATAAATGTTTTCCTGAAAAGTGAAAAGACCCAATAGAAGCTTTTCATAATGATATAGGCCAAATAAGAATATTATAGAAAAGCTTCTTATAAAGATTTTCTCTGAAATTTACCATAAATGTTTTGTCTTGAGAAGACTTTTATATGTATTTGTATTAAATATGTTTTATCTATGCATATGTCTAATCGGAGTCAAACTGAGCTTTCGCCGAATAACTGAACTTAAGAAACAAGAGGAGCAAAATTAAAATACAACAAATTAAAGAAGCTAAGAGACATTTTTAATCAAGAGAATTCTAAATAACCCTTATTACTAAGCAGAAGCTGTTTTTAAATTTTATATAATTTATTTTAAGGACTTTCATGTTTAGATGTAAACACACGGAATCGATATGTAATAAAATAAGCCTGCAGAGACTTTTTCGAACATTCTTTGTTATACAGTAAATAAATTAAAACTTTTCGTCTTTCCAAATTTTCTGAGAAATGATTCATAAACCTGTGTGAATTTTAATAAAGTAAAACTACGCCTACAAGAAACTGATGGCAATAGATTTGATTTTAAAAAAATCTGATGTGTGCACCACATGACTTCCTTGTATGGAATAGTAAACTATATGCAGTTTTCCTGCATTTCATTTAAACCTATTGAATTAACAGTTAACGAATTTTGAATTAAACCTACTTCATCGATAGCACGTAAACCACAACAGAATAAATGCATTCCTTAAAGTTCACTATATTTATTTACGATAGCAAGACTCCGGCGGTAGGTTCACTTAACAGCATTACATCTCATTTATTTTATAACTTAGAGTGCACAAAAATTATATTATCTGAAGAATTACCACATGTTTTATTCAAATTCTATAATCTAAAACGTTGTATAAAAGAAATTAAACAAATAAAAAAGAAACAGTTTTTGCTCGGACGATTCAGCGCTGCTTACCTAATGAGCATTAGCTGCTAATTAATTCAGTTCTTGTTTTGCGGCAAGGCAAAAATATATAAAAATTCAAAATATTTTCATTAAAAATTGAAAGAGATAGAAAAACATAAAACACCAAATTCAGTTAAAACAATTTTAAAAAAATTTTTACAGAAAACAAAATTACAGTTTCTACACAAAAACAAGCTAATAACTTAAATGATAATTCCAGAATGAATTAAGCATAATTTAATTCGCAATTATAAAACAATATGTTACTTTCTTGTTGCGAAGCTTAGTTTCTCTAGATTGGTAATAAATCCACTATTCTGCTAAGTTTCAAATGTAAACAAATATGGCTGCTATGGTAATCAAAAATTAAGCCCAGCCACACTTAAAAAACTTTTAAATTGTTGATAATTCCACAGTTATTGCATGCAGGTTAAGGCATAAAAATCTTAACCAGGACAACATAATTCAATCATTTTTAAAGCAAAAAATGCACAATTTACAAACATATAAGAATAAAGAAACTAAGCCGAGTAACAGAATATATATATATATATATATAAACTTTTGGTGTGGCTGATTAAAACCAAAATAGGAGGTGCACATCTACATATTATAGCAGTCCTATATACAAGATTTCAACTTTCTGAGGCTACTCATTTTTCAGTTATGATAGATAAATACATACATATGTACAGACGCCACGAAAAAAATTCTCTTCAGAATTCATTTTAATTCAGTTTTATAATTTTTGGGGGAAAAGAGTCCTTTTTTTCTTTCCTTAGGTACAGATGTCGTTAAATTGCATTTGATAGCGATCAAAATGAATATTTTCTTCGAAATATGATACCCGAAATTTTTCGCGATTACTATACTTCCTTTTTGCTTCTTATAAGAAAGCAAAAAATTACATTAATGATTTTGCTTCGCTAAAAGGAAGACTAATCAAGCTATTAAATGATTCATTTACGATTAAATTACAGAATATCTGAAAATTTTTATGTAATTATTTTGTAGATTAATTTATTTCTATATAATTCGTTAGTATGAAAATTATCAATAACCATACTTTTTAAATATAAATCAAAGAAGTAACTAGGCATGATTCTGATACTTAATTTGGAATAAGCTTTGCAAATTAAAAGAGAAATCGTGGTATGTTATCTCAATTTTCAAAGCATTCGCTTGCACCATTTGATTTTGTTTGTTATATATAATATGTTACCTTCATTTCCATTAAAGAGAGTTTATGCCGTCGAAGAACAAATTGATGACGTATTCTGCTGCTATCGTCAAAGAAGTTAACACCTTAAAGAAATGCATCGCGACTGCAGCAAACAATTCTGATGGTTTTAAATTTTTACCCGTGCCTTCTCGTCCCTCTTTGAAGCTATCCACATATGAACGTA